CGCTACGAGCAAGGGTTGGCATTACCACCGCGACACATACACGCAAACTTTGGGAGCTCCGCGCGGACGTCTAGGATGGGTGCTGGCCGCCCCCCCCGCCAGGGACGGAGCTCCAGCGCCGATCTAGGAACTCCGCGCAGGCCTCTTAAAGTTTAGGTCTGCGCCGTTTTTTCTTCTTCTGCACCACCACGGCGTCCAGCAGCGCGACGACCGCCGTGGATCCAGACGCTGGCCTGCCGCCCCTGGAGGACGTCTACAGCGCCCCCGCGGCGGGGCCTGGCGGCTACGCGCTCTTCTACGAGGGAGACAACCCGCTGCGCATCCAGGCGCCAGCGGCGCGTGCAACGGGCGTGCGGCGACGGGGTGTGGCCTCAGAGGGTATGCGTCCAGGAGGCCCAAGCATGGATTACGGTGCGCGGACTGGCGACGGGCCCCGCCTCCTTACTTCATCGGCGCGCAGCGTCGCCGGATCGCTTGGCGTTGGCCTCAGGTCTCGGGTGTACTTTCCCCGATCCGTGGACTTGGCGCCCATGCGCCCGATCCACAGATCCGTAATCCATGGCCGAACGGGACCCCTTCCAAGAGGCCACCGTGCTTTCTCAGAGGGCCGCCCCCAAACCTCATTCCCTTCCGTATGCCTTTGGCAGTCGCATTTGTTTCGCAACCTGGGCCCACCACCGGTCTAGACCGCTTCCCCGCGGCCGGCGTCGCATCCCGAGCTGCTTTTTGTTGACGGCCTTGGGGCGTAGCGAGGGCCCCTCGAGGCAGACAAAGTGCACTAGCTTTGCTGTCGTGCTACCGACGACGACGAGAGGAGGTCTGAAAGAGCGCGCTGCGGGAGACGGGAAGACCAAACGGGGGGGGGGCTCAGCTGCAAGCTGCTCCCTCTTTTCTGCCCAAAGGTGGGGAGGGGGCCTCCGAAGCTACACTCCCCCCCACCCCTTACAAAGGGAGGCCCCAGCTTCCCACAGGGGGTCTGGGTCCTGCGTGCCGCAGCGAGGCGTCGGCGCGGCGGGAGGCGAACTACTTCCTCCTGCTCGGCGACTGGGGCACCCCGGGGGCGCCAGGCGGGTGCCAGCTCGCTGTCGCGGCCGCCATGAAGCGGTACGCGGCCGAGCAGAAGGCTGCGGGCCAGAACCTCCTGTTCATCGGGACCGCGGAGGCCGCCGAACCCACTGGTCCTCTTCTCGCCGTGCCAAACAAAAAATACGACTGGAGTTCCCCCCCCCCCCAAGCATTAAGTCGGGCACGTCCTCCTACAAGCCGATTTTGTACGAAAAATTGAAAACGGTAGAAAACTGTTCAACCAATATTTGAAAATACTCAAAAAACAGTCCCCAGGGGGGAAGGATCTGTTAGGCCATCTATCTCTCACCCGAGGCACCCATCAAAATGCGCCCTGGGAACCAGCGGACGCAGGTGGAATGCATATGCCCGGACGCTCGTCCCTCCAAGACAACATATCCAGCAAGAACATACACGGCCGCAAGGCACCACGACACCCCGCGGTACACCATGCAAAACCGCTATCAATCCCACGATCGGTCTCCTTCCATCTATCGATCTCACTACCTATCGACCTAACATTCGATCCCACTTGCGACCTGGTTATCGATATCACAATTTATATCACTTTCGATCTCACTGTCGATCTCACTATCTGTCAAAATCGCAATCGACCTCACTATGGATCTCACCTTCATATTACCTATCGACCGCACTATCGATCTCACTCTTTATCTACCTATCGACCTCACTATCGATTTCCCTCTATCTATCGGTATCCTTATCTAGTGATCTTACAATCGACGTCACCATCGAGCTCACTATCGATCTCACCATCGGGTTGTCTTTCGACGTCCCTATCGATCTCACTATTGATCTCACTACCGATCTCACTATCAATATAATTCAGTCTATCTCACAATCGATCACACTATCGATCGCACTATCCACCTCCACGGGACACCGCGGGACACTGCGGGACACCGCGCCACGGGGGTACCACGGAGCAACATGGGGACACCTGCGGGACACCTCTGGGCCACCGCCGGCCAACCGGGGGAGCCCAGTTTCTCCCCAGCCAGGGCGGGATGCCCGCCCACGCAGCTTCGCATCGCCCGCATAGTTTACACCGCACAGCCCGCATATCTATACGACCACCCTTTGGATGATAAGGAGGTCGGGGGGAAAGAACCAACTGACGACAGCTGCGATGGCTGCGATGATGACCGCGGGACACCCACCGACGGGTTACCCGCGGGACACCGACGGGACACCGACGGGACAACACGGGACAGCATCGGGACACCAATCGATCTCGTTTTCGATCTCACTACCGATCTCACTATCGATCTCACTATGGGACACCGACGGGACACCGACGGGACACCAACAGAACAACGACGGGACACCACGGGACAACGACGGGACACCAACGGAACACCGACGGGATACCACGGCGGGACAACCCGGCCACCGCCCGCCCACCGCGACGGGACACCTACGGGACAGCGACGGGACAACAGACACGGCGGGACAGCCGGGCCACCGCCGAACCACCGGAGGGGGGGGTGGAGGACGGGTCAACGGCTCTGACCCGCCACAGCGGAGGCATTCATTTCGCCCGCCTACGCAGCTTCGCATCTCCCGCACGCACGACACGAACCCGAAGCCGAAACCGATTTCCTGGCGGGGGGCTCTCTTTTTCTCTTCGATATCCCCCCCTGACCTCCGATCGTAGTCCGCACAAAGATTTCACCACATACCTTACAACACATTTGACATGTTTCCTCCCCCCCACAAGGCGAAATTTCTATACCACCCTCTCCCCCGGGACTGATCGGCACCCCTGGGACATTGCAACTTACATATGATTATGCCCCGTCGCTCATCTCCCATAACCATAGAGCCCAGCCAAATCGGTCATCGCCCACCCATTCCTGTCAAATAGCACCATGGGCGCACCTTGGGTTATCACAAAATATACCAATACCTATACGACCACCCCTTGTGTGAGAAGGAGGTTGGGGCATAGTGGGGGGGAAGAGAGGACGAACCAGCTGCTGGCACATGCGATGGGTGTAATGGTGACGATGATGGTGGCAAGCCCTCGAGTTAGTGACGACGCGTGATGAACATGTTGCGCTTCGATGTAATGTCATTGTCGTCCCCGCTTCCGATCTCTATCGATCGTTCCTACTATCGACCTCACGGCCAGTCTTAGTACCAATGGATTCAGCGATCGATCCCATTGTGCTCGCCCCAGGGGAGATCGCCTGTCGCCGCGAAATCTGCAGGACCCAGGGGACGTCGCCTCACTGCGCATCCGACAGCGCGAGCACAACCAATGTCGTAATCAACCTCGCTGTCGATCTCATTTTTTGATCTCACTATCCATCCCATGCCAGCGATCTCATTATCGATCTCACCATCGACGTCGCTGCCGATACCAAGGCGGGGCACCCCCAGCCACCGCCCGCCCACCGCCGACGGAACACCGACGGGACACTAACAGGACACCAAGGGGACATCACCGGACACCTCGGAGGGACACTCTGGGACTAACAGAACTTCACAGCACATCGCAGCCACCGCGCGCCCGGAGGGGCGGTCCACGGTCCACTGCATCCGAATCGCCCCAGCGACGGCTTGGTCATTCCTCTCGCGCGCCCACGCAGCTTCGCCTCGCCCGCACGCACGCCACGAACACGAAACCGATTTCCTGGAGGGGGCTCTCCGTGCCACTGCGTTCTCATCTTCCGACCTCCGACGACCACCCTTCGGGTGACAAGGAGCTTGCGAGGGGGACGGAGCCAACGTTTCACTCAATTGATCTCGCCACCGATCTCACCACCGATCTCATCAACGCTCTCGCTACCGACCTCACTATCGGTCTCACCTTCGGCAGGACACCCTCGGCGGGACACCCACGGGACGCCGACAGGACACCCACGGGACACCGACGGAGCACCGACGGGACACCGACGGAGCACCGACGGAGCACCGACGGGACACCCCTGGCCATCGCCGCGGACGCCGACGGGGCACCGACGGGATACCGACGGGACACCACGGCGGGACGCCACGGCGGGACAGACCCAGCCACGCCGGCTCACCGGACGGGCTGTCTTTTGTCTTGCCGCCCGAGCCACAGCGGAGTCATGTTTCTCGCCCGCCCGCGCCGCTCCGCCTCGCCCGCGCGCGCGACACGAACCCGAAACCGAAGCCGATTTCCCAGCGGGGGGGCTTTCCGTACCACTTCGATCTCACTTTTTGATCTTCGATGTTTCACGACATGTTTGCAGCGGATGACACCAAGTCTACACGCGCTCACATGTCGATCTCACATCAAACACCAGTGTTGCAAGGATCTCAGCAAGCAGCCAGAGTCACCCTTTGGTTTTTCCGTCACACATATTTCAAATATTCTGCCCCCCGCAGTTGTTGAAATCACGCGAACACACTATGAAGTTAGCAATCTCGCCCCGAACCCGCATTCCCATCTCACCACGCGGTGCATCCGCGTTGATCCAGCATGCGCTCAGTTCACGAATTCATATCAAATGATACCATGAGGGCCACACGCTCGCGCGCCGCCACGCGAGCGTGCCGAGACCCTTCCAAAGCCAGGGGATTTCGACGCTATTCAAAATAGAACTCTTCAAAACGTATGAAACACACATTTTGTTCAACAGTATGTGTGCTCGGTTTCTCGGATTTCCGCGCGCGCACTTCCTCATCATCACTCTCATCACCGCCGCCGCATCGCGTCATAGCCATCGTCAATCGCCGCAATTGCCGCCATCATCACTCAATTACCTTCGTCATCAACATATGGGCATCATCATCGTCATCGTCGTTACCGGCATCGGCGTCGGCATTGGCCTTGCTGTCGCCATCGTCACTACCGACACCACCATCGCTACTACCATCATCTTTGCAGCTGTTGCCGACGTCATCGTGATACTGCGCCCGCCCGAGCCACCGACCCGCTTTGAAGTGCTCGCGCGCTAGTGTGGCCTTTGACGCGTGCTGGGACGCTGGCATCGGTAAGCGCCATCGCGGCCACATTGGCTGTGCCAAACCAGCTGGCTGCTCTGCGCGCGAGCTTGCGCGCGCCAGCGCGGCCTCAGAGATACGCCAGCCATGGCCAAGCAGTCATCGCAATCACTGCCGCATGGGTTTTGCAAACCATGTTGCGGGTGGAAGTGTTGGGTTATCGCGCAAGCAGTTGAGTTGACCATGTGTTCCCCGAACCGTTGTGGAAACCCATCGGGGAACGTTCTGGGTAGGATGGCGGGGGAGATCAGGAGGACGAGGAGGAGGAGGAGGAGGAGGCGGAGGCGGAGGCGGAGGCGGAGGCGGAGGCGGAGGAGGAGGAGGCGGAGGAGGAGGAGAAGGAGGAGGAGGAAAAGGAGGAGGAGGAGGAGGAGGGTGCATCTTGGGAGTCTCTGAGGGCACTCTTGGGGCCTCCTGGGAGCTTCCTGGGAGCCTCTTGGAGGCATCTTGTTCTTCCTTAGGGCATCTTGGGGGCCTCTTTGGGGGCTTCTCGAGGGCTTCTTTGGCCGTCTTGGGGCATCCCTGGCCTGTCTGGCGCCGTCGGAAGCCGTCTTGGGGGTCTGTCTGGGCCGACTTGGGGCCCTCTTGAGGTGCTCCAGGGACGTCTTGGAGGCCATCTTGGGCGTCTTGGAGGCCTCTTGGGCCGCCTTGGGGCCCGCTTGGGGCCGTCTTGGGGCCTCTTGGGCCGCGCTGGGGCCATCCTGGAGGCCTCTTTGGCGATCTTGGGGCGATCTTTGTGGGTTCGTGGGCCGTCTTGGGCCGTCGGAAGGCCGACAAGAAGCAAATGCCAAAATCCTTCAACAAGCCTAAGGACAATCTATTTGATTGACAATCACTAGCGTTGGCACCTTCGAGCTTTCCTGGAGGTCCTCTTGGAGGCATCCAGGGCCGTCTTGGAGACCTCTTGGGAGCCTCTTGGGCCGTCGTGGGCCATCTTGGAGGCATCTTGGGCCGTCTTGGTGGGCTCCTGGCCCGTCTGACGCCGTCGGAAGCCGTCTTGAGGGCCTCTCTGTGCCGATTTGGGGCCCTCTTGGGGTGCTCCACGGCCGTCTTGAAGGCCAGTCTTGGAGGCCTCTTGGGCCGCCTGGGGGCCCTCGTGGGGCCCTCTCTGGGGTTTCTTGGGCCGTTCTGGGGTCATCCTGGAGTCCTCTTGGGCGATCTTGGGGCGATCTTTGTGGGCTCGTGGGCCGTCTTGGGCCGTCGGAAGGCCGACAAGAAACAAATGCCAAACTCCGCCAAAACCTAAAGGAAATACCTGATTTTGGCCTCTTTGAACCTGCCCGGAAGTCCTCTTGGAGGCCTCTGGGGCCGCCTTGGAGGCCTTTGGGGGGCCTCTTAGGCCGTCTTAGGCTATTTTGGAGCCATCTTGGGCTGTCTTGGTGGGCTCCTGGCACGTCTGACGCCGTCGGAAGCCGTCTTGGGGGTCTCTCTGGCCGACTTGGGGCCCTCTCGGGGTGCTCCAGGGCAGTCTTGAAGGCCATCTTGGGCGTCTTGGAGGCCTCTTAGGCCGCCTGGCCCTCGTGGGGCCCTCTTGGGGGTTTCTCGGGCCGTTCTGGGGTCATCCTGGAGGCCTCTCGGGCGATCTTTGGGTGCTCTTGGGCCGCCTCGGGCAGTCGGAAGGCCGAAAAGAAGCAAATGCCCAAATCCGTAAAAAAGGTGAATGAAGTCAATGATTTGGGCCTCTTCGGGCCTTCCTGGAGGCCCTCTCGGAGGCCTCTTGGGCCGTCGTGGAGGCGTCTTGGAGGCCTCTTGGGCCATCTTGAGGCCATCTTGGGCCGTCTTGGTGGCCTCTTGGGCGGACTTGGAGGCTTCTCGGACCCTCTTGGGTCTTGGACGCCATCTTGGGCCATCTGGGCCCTCTTGGAGGCTATCTTGAGCCGTCTGGAGAATTTTTTCTGGACGTTGAGGTCGTTTCGGGGCCTTCCGCGGGGCCGGCGCGCTGGGCCGAAGCCCCAGGGAGAGTTCCGTAGGATCTAGCACGCGAGGCACCCCTGTGGTAAGTCAACAGGGGGCTGCGGGTTCAATGGTCTTCGGCCTATCCCGCCACCGTGCCTGGGCTGTGGGTCAGAGTTCTCAGGGGCAGTTTTGGGGTCTCTTGGGGGCCTCTTGGGGGCCTCTTGGGGGCCTCTTGGGGCCCCTCTCGGGCGACTGCGGCCTCCGGGGTCCCCAAGTCGCGCGGTGGCGGGCCGTGCGGTGAGGTCCCTCGGGATGTCCAGGTCGCCGCACGGTCCGCCACCGCATCGTTTTCGGGCCCCCGAGCACGCGCCGATCGAGGGCCCATGGACCAGCCCTGGCCTGGGCCAGTGGTCGACCGGCCTTGGCCTGGGCCAGTGGCCAGTGGTCGGTGCGCAGCTGGCGCCCTCCCCAGGACGGTGGGCGACAACTTCTACTGGACGGGGGTGCAGCCAAGGTCCTGGGGCGACTCCTGGGCCGTGCCCTACGGGGTCAACGACCCTGCCAGCCCGCTGTTCCAGGTGCGGTGGCCGTCGTCATCGTTCTCCTCGCTCTCGCCCTCTTCGGCATCCTTGCCATTGACGTCGTCTTCGTCTTCGTCATCGTTCTCGTCTTTGTCCTCTTCCGCCTCCTCGTCTCTCCATCTATCTCCTCCTCTTTCTTCCCCCCCTCCTCCACCTTCTTATCCTCCTTTCACCTCCTCCTCCTCCTCCTCCTCCTCCTCTTTCTTCTCTCCACCTTCTTTATCCTCCTCCCTCCCACCCCTGCCATGGTCCCTCCCTTCCCGTTCTCCTTCCTCCCGTTGTACGTTGTCCGTTGCACGCGTCAGTCTCAAGTCCACTCGCTGCGCAGGAAGATCCATGCATAAGGAGGAGAGGGCGCGCCAGGGCCGCCACGGGAAGCGCCTATGGGGCAATGAGGGCGGGAGGAAAGGGCCGAGACAGAGGCAGGCAACGAGGAGGGATCTTGAGATAGGTGCCTCCGAGGCCCCCACGCGCTCGCTCTCCCTCCTCCCGTCCCCCTCGCCCGTCCTCCTCCTGCCGCCCCTCCCGCTCCCGCTCCCGGTGCCCTGGCTGGCGTCGCTCGGGAACCACGACTACGGCAACGACGACGCCCTCGCGTTCTGCCCCTCCGCGGGGCCGCAGTTCAGCGTCCACGGGCCCGCCCGCCGCGCTTCCCCTTCCTGCTGCTGCTCCCTCCGCCGCCTCCTCTCCCCCCCCCGCTTTTCGCAGGCCTGGAGGTTGACACCAACACCAATATCGGCGGTGTTCCTCCACCGAGGGAAGAGGATCCCGATCTCGGTGATGGTGGTAATATTCTGACTTCCATGGCGACCGAAATATTATTACCAACACCGAAATCGAGGATCCTCGTCCCCCTGTGGAGGCACCCCCCTGTGTTGGTGTTGGTGCCAATTTCCAGGCCTCCAAGTTTTCCTTTCAGTCCTTCCCCAGTTTCTTCCTTATCTTTCTATTTCTCTTCCTCTTCCTCCCGCTCCTCTCTGCTGCTCGCTCGTCTCCATCGCAACCTCCCGCTGCGCATCCGGCTTCTCCTGGTCCTCGTTCTCCGCCCCCTCCTCTGTGCTCCGGGTCCTCTTTCCACTTTCGTCATCCTTGTCTTCCTCTTCCTGCTGCTGCTCCTTCGCCTCCCCCTTCCTCCGTACCTTCTCCTCATACATGATTTCTCCCTGTCGCACCCCGAGGCCAGCTTTTGAGGCGGTCTGCGCGTTTCGCCCGAGACTATTCACCACTCATGACCCTGAAGCTCAGAGATTTACAACATCTTCACAGACGGAGAGCGGGTCGTTGTCAAAATGTGGCTCTCGCCATGGCGCCGCGCACATTCGTTTGTAAAAGTTACAAGAGTTTCGCAGTTTGAGGCCGGTCCCTTTTCAACATGTGGCTCTCGCCTTAGCGCCGCGCACATTCGTTTGTAAACCTTGCAAGAATTTCACGGATTCCCGTAGTCAGCCTACCAGAAATTGTGTTTCTGACGGATTTTGGATGATGAGGGTGCAACAGTTACGTTGATTCGCGGTGTTGAAATGCCAGGATGGTGTTCTGGCATGTTTGAGATCATCAAGGCGCAACAGTCAGGTTGATCCGTGGCATTGGAATCCCGACAACAATTCTTTGGCATGCTTCAGGTTGTCTTCCAACGAGGCAGTTCCCTGTGGAAATGAGCCGTTGTAGGGGCCTATGAAGAAGAGGAAGCTTAGACGGAGGTTCATTCCAACATCTTTGTTGACTCTTGGGTTGTCACTGGTCTTCCATCCTCCTCGTCTTCTTCCTCCTCCTTTTCCCTTGTCCTCCTCCCTCGTCGTCGTTATCCTCGTTGCTGCTGCTGCTCCTTCTCCTTGCTTCCAGTTCCGCTAGTCCTCCTCCTCCCTCCCCCTCCCCCTCCTCCTCCTCCTCCTCCTCCTCCTCCTCCTCCGCCTCCTCATCCTCGTTCCCCTCTTGTCCGCTAGTCCTCCCTCCTCCCTCTCCTCCTCCTCCTCCTCCTCCTCCTCCTCCTCCTCTTCCTCCTCCTTCTCCTCCTCCTCCTCCTCCGTCTCCCTCTCCTCATTCTCATCCTCCGCCTCCACTCCTCTAGACTTGCTTATCTCTTCCTTCAACGCCGCCCGAATCCAAGGGACCAGGTCCAGGTATTACGTCCAGGACGCAGTCAAGGCAAGGCTTCGGGTCATCGCTCGTTGTTCGGGCGCCATCAGCGCCATCGCCAGCAGGACCTGCGCTTCCCCCCTGCCTCCCATCCATTGAGTCGCGAGCGCTCTTCTTCCTCCCTTCTCTTCCCTGCATCCCCCTCGTTGTCTTCCCCCCGCCCCCCTCGGCGCCGAAAGGCAGCCCTACGCGTCGATGCAGCTCAACCGGGACAAGAACCCGAGTAGACCCCACCCGTCTGAGCTGAACACAACGCACTACTGGCTCCCGGAGCTCTTGGGGCGGTGGCGTCGTCGTCGAGGAGGGCGGCGGCGGAGGAGCACTAGGCGAAGGAGTTGGTTCCAGAAACTTCTCAGAGGTTTAGGAGCTTTCCGTCGGTCTTCGGAGCGTTTGGCTGTTTCGTTTTCTTCTCGCACGTCATGTTTAACAGCAGCTACGCTGGTCCTTCTCGAAGGGCCAGCGTGCTAAGCGCTCGGAGGTTTAATGGTGATGGTGATGGTGGTGATGGCGATGGCGATGGCGACGGCGATGGCGATGCCTATGGTGATGGTGATTGTAATGATGCTGCTGATGCTGATGGTGATGACGATGATGCTGATGATGAGTAGCCTTAACATGGGTTGCGAAACTTTGTGAGCAACAACATATATTCGACACATGTAAGTTACATGGCATTATGCTATAAGGTGTAAGCGTTCAAACGCAAGCGGCGTTTGCGGTGCGCAGCGAGTGCCTTGCCGGGGAAACCGATTGTCATGGCAGCCTAGGGCGATCATGCGTCCTGCAGCGGCGCGCGGGATCGGCTTCCATGGTTCGGTTTTGGGGTCTCTCGCCGCGGAGACGCGACATGAATTGGCGCGGCGCGGGGCCTGGCGTCGCCCGCGCCGTCCAACAAATGATTGACTGACAAATGATCACAGTTTCCGGTGAAATTTCTTTGGGGGCCAGGGGGCGCGCGACAGGGGCGTGCCGAAATGAACCAGGGCCGCCGCGCGAGCGGTGCCAGCGGGGTCGGGGCTTTCAGCGGGGCTTCCTTCCTGCGGGGCCACGACGCGCGTGACAGTTGTGCAACTATGCCGCGCCCAGCCGCTGCCGCTGGGGCCTTCGGCGGGGTCCCCCGTCGAGCCGCGAACAACGTGGGGGTTCTGCAGCAGGTGCCGCGCGCGGCCGCCGCCTCTGGGGCCTTCGGCGGAGGTCCCCATGGGGCCACGACGCGCGCGAGCGGTGCCCAAGTACGCGCGCGGCCGCTGACGCATGGGCCTGTGGCGGGTTTCTTTATTCGGGCCATCGAACGCGCGAGGGGTGCGCAAGTGCCGCGCGCGGCTGATGCCGCTGGGGCCTTTGATGGAGCCTGGGGGGTGCAAGTGCCGCGCGCGGCCGCTGCTACCGCGGCCTCGACGGAGACGCCTGTGGGGCCGCGAAGCGTGCGAGGGGTGTGGAAGTAGGGCGCGCACCCTCTTCGGTTGGGCAAATGCTTGAGGGGCCTGCGAGTACCTCGCGCGGCCGCCGCCGTTGGGGGCTGCGGTGGACCCCCCATCAGGGGCGACGGCTGGAGCCCCCTTCGGGGCCGCAGCATTTTTTCCGCAGGGTCATTGCCCTTGAGGCCTCGCCCCATGTCGGCGAAACTTTCTTGGGTACATCGCCGCGGGGGGTGGCGCGTCGCAAACGTCGTCTGCTGAGCCGCGCGGCTGCGCCCCTTGTCTGGCGTTGCGCCCCCGCCCGCCCCCCCCGCCCGCTTGGCGCCGGGAAGCGGCCGGGCTCTCATCCCGAGGGTGCGTGGGGCTGGGGAAGGGCAAGGCCCCACGGGGCAGCCGCATTCCGTCGCGGGCCTCCCGGGGGCGTCGCGCTATTCCACCTCGCCCCCGCCGGCTGCCTCGGGGAAGCAGTCTTTTCGCGTTTATTGTTCTTGCATTATCACCGATCGGGGCGGACGCATTTTTCGTGCACGGATTGTGCATGTTTGGGGGAAGAAATAGGCGCCTCCCCGGCCATTTTCTTAACACATTTTGTATTTTTGTGTAGAGCAAATAGGCATCACATCGACGAAGCATGTGTGAAAAATGCGCGCGCGGAGTCGGCGGGCGTCTCGCCTATTTCGGTCGCCCAGTTTTTACTTATTTCAAACTGGCGTGCAAAATTTCGCCGGGGATTGCAAATGCGGGGCCTATTTTGTTTTTGGATTATCGTTATTTTCGATTGGGCCACCTCGAACGCACCCAGACAAATCGCGGCCGCCTGGGGGCCGTGCCGATCGAGGCCCCGCGGCGATCGTGCCGGCGTCTGCTTCGGAGCCTGGGGGGTATCTTTCGCCGCCCTGGGTCGCGGTGGCCATCTAGCAACAATTTTGGGGGCCCTCGAATGTGCTGCCCAACGCGCTGGTGCAATCGGCGCGGGCCGGGCCGGATGCGAGCGGCGCCGTGGATTGGGGTCGCCGTGGGGGGTCGCGGCGCAGACGGCCAGGGGGAACAACGGTGCTAATGAGAGAGGGCGGTGGGCAGGATAAAAAGCGCGCGAGGGGGAAGGGGGGCGCGATCGGAGGGGGAGAAGGGGTTTGGGTGGGAGGGGGGTGGGGAGAAGGGGCGAGGAATAGGGAGGTCCACGTCGTCGGCGGCAGACGGGGCGGCATTCTTGCTGGCTTACTCGCAATTCGCAGCGGTGGCAGCCGTGCGGGCCGCGAGGGCACGCAGGACGTTTCGCCATCGGCATTCGCGCGATGATGGTACAGTAGACACATGAGAGTTTGGATCGAAGAAATGTCGGGTGGCCCGTGGTCCTTTGCAGTGGCGAGTCGGCCTGTAGTTTCGCGCGGCCCGGGCCCTCCTCCATGGAATTTTCTTTACCTCGCCAACCTGTTCCCCCTCGTTCCAAGGGCCCGTTCTCGGCGGCCCCATCGAGGCTGTTCTAGCCGCCGCCCCCATTCAAGTTCCAGTCGCCCCCCTTGCCGTCCTCTGCACCCCCTCGTCGCCCAGTATTATTCTCCAGACGATGTCGCGCGCCTGCCCCCTCTCCTTCTCCTCGTGCGCGGGTGTCACCCGCCCCGTTGTCGTTTTCCTGGTGCCGTCGTTCCTGTCACTAGCTGCGCTGCTGCTTCCGCCGCCTCGTCTGCCTTCCGCCGTCTCGCGGCCGTCGCTGCCGTCGCAGATGCGGCGTCGGAGATGTGCAGATTCGGCGGGGTTGCGTCGTCGGCTCGCAAGCGAGGCGTTCGAGTTGTCGGGGGTGGATCATCCCTGGGCGGGCGCTCGCAGTTGCGTTTCGCGCGTGCCGCGTGCCACTTCGGTATTCCAGCGAACGGTTTCTGTGTGATTCCACAGCGGAAACATATTTTTCACATTTGTGACATCACCAAATGTTGTTACGTTGTTTAATGCAAGTGATGTTTTCTTGGGTTCCCAGGCTGTCCATGATGATGATGATCCGGGCGAAGATGATGATGATGATGATGATGATGATGATGATGATGATGATGAGGATGATGCTGATGATGATGAGGATGAGGAAAGGAGGAGGAGGAAGAGGAGGAGGAGGAGGAGGAGGAGGAGGAGGAGGAGGAGGAGGAGGAGGAGGGGGCCATATTGACACCAGGAGTCGTCAACGATACTGGAATCCACATTTCCACCCCCCGTCCCTTCTTTGCGTGTGTCCCTATATGTATCCTTTTTTATTGCGAGAAGCGCCCCCTTGAAAAATGAACGGCTTATGGGCCCGCCATTCAGGCGATAACCCCGTTATGCACAAGAACCGCCGCCCCCCTATGTGTCTGTTTGTTGCACATGTGTACACACTCCTGGCCGTTACTGCTGATGGGATCCCCAGCCAAAGACTCGTTTGAACATGGGCTGCCTCCGTGGAGCTGCTGCGTAGTTTCAGGCATCGGGTCGCGACTTGCAGCGACGCCTCAGGCGAGAGCCACGTCCCTCCATATCTGTAGCTTTTGCAAGACATGTCTGCGGCGCTGAGGCGAGAGCCTATTGTAGTGGCCTTCGGCCAGTGCCGCCGGTCCGGGTCGCTTGGGGCGCCCCCCAGACTTGGCGGCGACACTTCGCCGACAGACACGCACGCACACGCTCGCAGACATTGCGCGCGCACGCGTGCACATACACGCACACGCACGTACACACTACACACAAACACGCACACACACACACACGCCGCATTCACACACGCGCGCCACCTTCGCAGGCACATACACACGCACACGCTGGCAACACAGGCGCACACGTACACACACCGCGCACACCGCACAAACACGCACACCACGCAACAAACACGTATTTCACCGCCACCTACGTCTTCCGCCCCCATTTGTTCTGCGTTTTCCGTTCGTGCCCCAGTCAACTTCTCTCTCCCTTTTCCCCCGATTTACACGGACAAACATTACCTCGCGCACGCGCGCGCCCCCCCCCCCGTCCTTCCCCGGCAGAGCCACCCCGGCAACACCCCCAGAGGGTGAAACTCAGCTTCGCGGCTGTAGCTGAGGCTTTTTCAAACTAGCACGCCACGGACCCCCCCTTTCCCTTCCCCCGCGCCATCGGAAACCATGCCGCAGAAACCCCCGCACCCCCGCCCTCTTCCCCAAATCCCCCCTGTCCACAGGCGGGACGGGGGACCAGACCCCCACCCTCCCACGCCACCGGAACCCGCGCCACCGACCCCCCCTCCCCCTATCCCAGCAGAGCCATCCCGGCCACCAGACCCCCTCCCTTGTCTTTGGAGCTGTGTCAACACTATGAGGCGACTATGCGCGGCTCTAACGCGATGACCCCATTGTCGAAACGTGCCGCCCTCCATCTGTGCAACCGTCGCAGGATTGGAAGACTTTGAGCCCGGCGCCAGTGTGAGAGCCCCGTTTTGAAAAACAACCGCCCTCCATCATTGCAACTCGGGCTTCAGAACCATTGGTGGTGAAGCGGTCTCAGGCGAATCGCCCAGACCGCCCTACTGACATGTTTTGTAGTGCGACAGGGATGATTATGATGAGGAAAGGGGCTGGGGGAGGAAAAGGACGAAGACGAGATGGAGGAGAACCAGTAGGATTGGTTTGAATGTGTTTTTGTCGATTGGTTGCGGAGTTTGCATGAGGTCTCCGGAGGTTTGAGGAGGAAGAGGGGGAGTCTAACATCCAGGGTGTTCCAGTGGTCCCAAGATAAGCATGACGAGGTAAATGAGCAAGTTCCACGGGCTTCTCGGGGAGTCGCGGAGGTTCTGTTCCAGGGTCTTCCACGGCGTTCTAAGGAGCAATCGTAGTCAGGAGAAGGATGGTAATGATGAGTCCCTCACTCCCAGGTGGCCCCTGGGCCCAGGGCCCATACATCCGACGACGTGATGT